AGAACGAGGCCATGATACAGTTTTTGAGTCTCTTAAACATTAGACTCTCCTCTAGGCTCGTTTCAGTGGCCAAGTTAAAATTGCAGGCCACCACAATCAACAAAAACAAGTCAGGAGGCACAAGACATAACATGTTGAGGAGAGAAGTTAACTCCCCCCGAGCCCTGTGATCAGAAACAACTAATCTGAGAACAGCTAATAGCAGGGTGAAGGTGACGGCTGAGCTTTGCAGAGCCTGCTGGTTGAATCTTGTCTCAGCAGCCATACTGCAAAGTATGAAACAGGAAACTCTGGATGAAGTCGTTTCTATAGCAGGGGCAGCTGAGGCTATGTAGTATTTATCTGGGTATTGTACTTTTTAGTGCTAAACTGAGAAACATATGTTCTTTCTCAGAAAGAAAGGTGAGCATTTTCCAAAAGATAACCGACTCCACAGTGTGCTTCGAGTGGCCTGGAGGTTTCAGACACTGACAATGTTGTCACAACTTTTCGGGGTGCGGCATTAGCTCAGTCCATGGGGACTCGGCTTGGGAACTGGAGGGTCGCTAGTTCAAGATACCGAAGGCGCCCCTGAGCAAGACCCTGAACCCCTAATTGCTCCCCGGGTGCTGCACAATGGCTGCCCGACTGCTCCTAATGAGGATGGGTTAAATGCAGAGAACAACAAATGTCCACTCGGGGGATCAATAAAGTATAAGAAAAAACACAGCTGGTTCTTTTTGTTAAACCCCTCATCTCCTATCATCTTTACTGTCTAATAAAGAGAAAAAAACCCCACAAAATACATCAAGGATATTAACGAACCAGGGGCCCAATTTCAAAACTTCCTATTACAGAACCTAACCTCATGGCTGTGTCCTGTCCTATCTCAGATTTAACTTAAGAAATCCTAACTAGAGCTGTAAACTCGATTCGTCTTCTTTTTAGCTAGTCGCGTCGGTGGAGGAGAGGAAACCCCACCTTTTTTGGGAAGTTTTCTTCCAAATGATGGGCCCAGAATAAAAGATTCAAATGAACTTGACACGTCCATCAACATTCAAAATGAGTCATCTTGGCGGTCGATATATATAACCCCATTAATACACGCTCCAGGAAATATAAAGCGGTGTCATACGCTTTGAGCCTTTCAATCATAATATTTTGGTCTTGACGTTGTTCCCCATCTTCACTGTAATTGCCATACAGACCGAACAACAGTGGTGCTGCCATTTTTGATAGTCTGAGTAGATTTCTGTAATGAGGCCTCTGGAAGAGACCTGAACCGAGCCGTCATCATCAACTGAAACCAGAAACTAATCTGAATCAGGAACAACATTCAAACAGAATCCAACATCTGGAACCCTGTCCAGAAGTAAACAGAGACCAGCAGCTGCAACTGAAGCTAGAATCTGAAACAACTCATTCAGGAGCTCAATCACCTGCTGATCACTGACAACAACAACATGGAGCTACTCATAAGTCCAGGTGATCAATTCAAACTTGATCACCAACTTCAAATCAGTTCAGATCCATTGGTGATTATCAAACTAACTTTGGAAAGATCTGACTTTTTAGTCTTTGACAGTCAGGATGGTGCAGAATCCTGACGACTTCAGCTCTGCAGGTAGACGACCCTGCAAATAAATAAAGAACGCCAACTGTCGCGTCATCTTGTACTAAAGCAAATGCAGCTTGTTTATAGGCGGCGAGATTTGTGCTTGAAAGGCCAAACAAAAGGCTAAGAGATAACTTCAGGTGAAGCTGTTTTTATTTACAGTTGTGTCTCCCTCTGCGACAGGCAAGAGCAACAATCAAGCGCAAACTCTTTACATATCTCTTAAATTTTATTTATATTGCGCCACTTCATGACAGAAGTTATCATTGCCCTTCTCACACAGAGCAGGTGTAGACCTTTGTAATATTATTTACAGAGACTATTTCCAACGTGACTTCACACATTGTGTGAATTTATCTGCCGACTGTCGACACCAGATGAGCCAGACTGGAACAACTTGGTCCCATCAGTCATCACACCTGAATCAGATTAATTCAACAGTCGTGATGTTCCAAAGCCTTAAACTTTTCCCATCTTGTTAAAACCTGAAGCCTGAAAGGAGCTCTGTGGATTTTTCTTGTAAACAAACAAAAGTCATATCTACATTCTTCTGTCTGCTGTGTGGATCCATGAGCTCTAACAAACCCGTTTACTTCCTTCCTCAAAAAGGTTTCTGTATTGTTTACATGCAGGGTTTGAAATTAACACCCGCCAAGTGGCCCTTTTCCGTTTGGCGAGTAAATGTGTTTACCATATGTGTTTTTACACGCGTCTAAACAATGCAGTGAAACTGACCATCTGGAGCGCTCGTTTACCAGCACTGTTTACCATTATAGGCATCAGACACTCTGAACTCGCCAAAGCATGTGGTACACCCACAGCCGCTTGTTGCAAAAAGAAGTCCGGTTCCTTTACATTTATTCATTTATCTGACGCTTTTATCCAAAGCGACTTACAATTGCTATACATGTCAGGGGTCGCACGCCTCTGGAGCAACGAGGGGTTAAGTGTCTTGCTCAGGGTGGCTCAGAATTGAACCCTGTTCTCCCACACCAAAGGCAAGCATCTTCTCTATGTGCCATCACCACCCTCTTTAGAAATAATGAGCCCGTGTGTTGAAATAATGGTAAAATGTTTCTACTTGTCAGCTGATTTATTCCCTCAGTAAACACTTTCCTGATGAGTTTATGGTCTCAGTCTCTAGTTTCAAGTCTTCTTCAACACAGCATGATGTTCATTTAGTAAATTATGGTCCCATTTAGAGGAACAGAGACCAGGAAGCAGGGGAGGCTTTAGGGCGGGGCTACAAGCTGATCCACGGCGACCTGTCAGTTAGAATAGGGGCAACTTGCATCCGCTGCTCTGTGTACATTGTTTTTTATTAAATGGCTGTCAGCAGGAGAGAGAACACATCATGTTTGAGTGTGTTAGTATGTTTTGTTTTAAAAGTAAATTGTTTTGTTAACTATTAACTTTTTATCTTTTATAATATGTGATTACATTTTAGTTTAGTTTTTTGGGGGGATAGTAAAGTAAGTTTCAAACCCACTGGCCCGGTGGGACCAGTTGCAAAAAAAGTTTAACGTTGAGCCCTGATTATGCTTATTAATCATTCAAATTAAACCTCCTCATCAGACTGCTCACTTTCTACAATCAAACACAAGTAACATGAAAAGAACATAAAAAAATCAGTGAACGCCTCTAATCCGTGAGTAACGCGATTTTAGATACCTTGGTACACCGGGGACTAATTTAAGTGCGACACACAACCAACAAGAACGCCGGTCTGCTGCTAATTATCATCAAATAGAAATTATATGCCGAATATATTTACCCATCAATGTGGCAGGTAGCCTTCCAACATTTGACCGCCAAACGGAAAATCCACCTGCATTTGGCAGGTGGCGGGTGTTAATTTCCATCCCTGGGGTAAATTAAATATTGTGGTGCTGCAGAGATGTCCTGTCCTACACACCATATTCTACAGACTTAAGAAAACATCGTTGTTTGGTACAGATACCCTCTAAAATCACACCATAAACATTTCAATTAGTTTTTCGACAAAAATGAGAATAATTATGCAAAAATGAACATTCCCTCCAGTATCGCAAATCACTGCAATATCATTAAAAATAATCGCATTTAGTAATTTTTTAAATCACTCAGTCCTCCCTGGCAGTGTCATGTTTTCAAGATCAAGACTTCTGAGTAACTGTTGATCAAATATGTTCAAATAATTATGCTTTAAGAGATCAGATTATTTTCAGGTTCATCATTTTATTTAGGGGTTGTACCAGAACAGGTTTATACGGTTTAATTTATAAAAATTAAAAAAAACATTGCTGCAGCTCCTCTTTTCACCCTGTGTGTTGAACGCTCCGTTTTAGCGTCTCCTTTCAGTTTGATATTCGTTTGGGTCAGCGAGAAGCCGGTAAACGGCTCGGGTTCAGCTGTACATGTTGCCGACCAGCTTGGCAACATGGACTGGAGCGAGAGTTTCAGAGCGGTGAGTTATTAATCTGTATCCATAAAGTTTTAACTGAGCTCTGTCTCTACATCACAGGAACAACTTTATGTCCACTGACTGCCTGGAGGGTAGCTAGTGTTTGGAAGGGAGAGGAGAGCTGTGTGCTGCAGCTCGCTGTTTCTGAGGGCGTGTCGGAGTAGCCAACACGCCCTCAAGAACTAACGAGCTGTTTTCAGTCAGTTCAGAGCAGTGTTTTCTGTGGGAGATGGGAACTCCCTTTGGGCTGGACTTTGGGCTTTTTCACTTTGCAAACTTATTACATGCACAAAAAAAGAGATATAACTCCATAAAGGAGAAAGGAAGAATTGGTTTTAGGGGTAGAATTAGGTCAAGGTTCCAGTGAAATTTCGAGATTCACGATACAAAATATGATTTTTTTTAAATTCGCTCTCCAATATATCCCAAAATTGAAGCTTTCACACAGAAGCTGCTGAAGGTAACAGCAGCAAAAAAAGACTAAGGTTAAATATTAAACTAATATTCGCTAATACTCGCTGCAGCTGTGGTACCTAGAAAAACGAGTGCCGTGTTGTTTCAGAATTTCGGTATCAACTTGGTACCGAAGTATCTGTTCTCATGACATCCCAACCCCACAGGGATAGAGGATCAAACGTGTGTGTGTGTGTGTGTTGCCCACATTGTCAACATTCCTTTCCACAGTCAACACTTCCTCCCTTGTTATTACCCACAAACCACCTGGCCCCCTGTCACCTGGATACCTGTGTGTGTGTGTGTGTACTGTAACTGAGCAGAGGTTCGCTAACGACCTTCATCTATAATACAAAACCTCACACACACACTCAGGGCTACTTCATAATCTGTTGATAAGCTCCTCTCTCGCTCTCTGTCTCACTCGCTCTTACAGCAAGACAATAAAACAGCCCCCCCCTCCTCTCTCTCTCTCCCTCTCCCCACTGTCTCTCTATGGGACTCACTCACTCAGTAGGTGTGTGTTGTACTTGCTGGTGTAGTAGTAAACGTCTTCATAGCCTTCCTGGTAATCGTCATCCGCCCGGTACCTCCTTCCTCGCCTCCTCCTGCCCAGCAGGCGCAGCAGTGCCAGAAACCGCTCCATCACCACCACCACCACTACTACCGCTCCAGGTCCGAACTGGGCCGGGCCGAGCCGGGCCAAACTAGGGCTACAAGCTATAAGCCTACAACTATAGGCGACGAGCAGCTAACGCAAAGGGTTATTCCACAGAGAAAGTGAGATCAGGTTTCCTCCTCGCTTGCTCGCTTCTGCAGACACACACACACCTCTGGATGTCACACACACACACACACATCGGCGAGCTTGTAACACACACACACACACACGCTCGCTCACATGCTCTTTGTATTCTCTGCTCTATCTGCAGCCTCCCTCTCCTCCTCTGTTCCCTTCTTCTTTCGGCTGTTGGTGCATCTAGCCGGGCTCAGCCAATCACAGGGCTCGCAGCTCACACACACACACACACACACACTCGCTCGTTGTTCTCGCCCTCTAACACACCACTCCTCCATCTCAACCCTGCATTGTGTGTGAATGTGTGTGCACACTGGAAATGTGCACCTGAAGAGTCAGCAAGGAGAAGAGGCGACCTTTGTTTCCTTCATTAGCTCCTTCCTTCCTTTGTTCCTTCCTTCCTTTCTCTACACATTTTATCTGTGTTTCCTCTCCTGCCTTCCTCCTCCTCCTCCTCGTTCACACACACTTCAGTCCGGCGAGGGGGAGGGGAGCTCTTCAGGCGTGGAATCTGTGTGTGTGTGCGTGAATTCCAGAGTGGTCTATAAGTGAACGCTAGGAGGGAGGAGAGGAAACAAGGAGACGAGAGGTAAGGATGAAAGAAAGGGAGAGGAGGACGAAAGGAGAGGAGAGACAAAGGAAAGGGGAACAATGAAAGGAAACAAGGACACGAGGATGAAAGGAAAGGTGAGTAATGGAGACTAGGAAATGAGGAAAAACTAGAAGAAGTGGATGATGAAAGGAGAGGAGGAAAAGAAGGAGGAGGAAGAAGAAAAAAAGGAAACAAAGAGAGAAAGATGAATGGAAATGTGAGCTAAGGAAACTAGGAAAGGTGAAAACTAGGAGAGGAAAGGAAGAAGAGGAAGAAGAGACAAGAGGAAACAAGGAGATGATAGGTGAGGAGGATGAAAGAAAAGGAGAAGAGAGATGAGATGAGGGACAAAAGAAGAAGAGAATGAGAGGAAACAAGCAGAGGAGAGGAGGATAAAAGAAAATGAGGAGGGTGAAAGGAGAGGAGAGACAAAAGAAAAGGGAACAACGAAAGGAAACAAGGACACAAGGATGAAAGGAAAGGCGTGTAAAGGAGACTAGGAAATGAGGAAAAACTAGAAGAAGTGGATGATGAAAGGAGAGGAGGAAAAGAAGAGGAAGGAAAACAGGAAACGAGGAGAGAAGGATGAAAGGAAAGGCGAGCAAAGGAAATTAGGAAAGGAGAAAAACCAAAAAGAGTGGAGGAAACTAGGAGAGGAAAGGAAGAAGAGGAAGAGGAGACAAGAGGAAACAAGGAGATGAGAGGTGAGGAGGATGAAAGGAGAGAAGAGGAGATGAGATGAGGGACAAAAGAAGAAGAGAAGGAGAGGAGACAAGGAGATGAAAGGAGCGGAGAGGAACACAAAGAGGAAGGAGAGGAGACGAAAACAGTTGGGAATGAGTGGAGAAATCTAGGAGAGGAGACAAGGAGATGAGAATGAAAGGAAAGGATAGGAAACTAGGAACGATGTAGCGGATGTGAGGAAACAAGGGCAGGAAACTAGGAGAGGAGACATGGAGAAGAGAATGAAAGGAAAGGATAGGAAACTAGGAAAGAGGAAGAGGAGGGGATGATAACAACGGCAGGAGGAGGAGGAGGAGAGACAAAAGAAGAAGAGAAGGAGAGGAAACAAGGAGAGGAGAAGTGAGGGAACAATGAAAGGAAACAAGAACAGGAGTATAATCAGAAATGTGAGTGAAGGAGACCAGGAAATGAGGAAAAACTAGGAGGAGAGGATGATAAAAGGTGAGGACAGGAGGAAGAAGAGAGGGAGTAAAGGAAAGAGGAAGAAGAGGAGAGGAAATGAGGAGGGTGATAGGAAAGAGAGGGAGAGGAGAGAAAAAAAGGAGGAGTGGAGAAAACTAGGAGAGGAGACAGGAGGATGAGAATGAAAGTAAAGGATAGGAAACTAGGAAAAGAGAGGAGAGAAGGAAGATAAGAGGGCGTAAACAAAGAGGAAGAAGAGGAGCGGTAATAAGTAGAGAAGGGGTAAGGAAAGAGAGGGAGAGGAAAATAGGAAATAGGAAAGGATAAAAACTAAGAAAAGTGGAGGAAACTAGGAGGAGAGGAGAGGACAAAGAGGAAGAGGAGAGGGGGTAAACAAAAGGAAAAAGAGGGAGGAAACAAGGAGAGGAAACAAGTTAAAGAGGATGGAAGGAAATGTGAGGAAAGGAACTAGAAAAGGAGAAAAACTAGGAAGAGAGGAAAGGAGAGGAAGGAAACAAAGAAGAAGAAGAGAAGAGGAAATGAGGAGAGGAGGGGGGAAGGAAAGAGGGAGGGAGAAGCGGAGAGGAAACAAGTTGAACTATAGTTTCCTTTCTTGTTTTTTTGGAACCAGAAGAGCCCACAGATGGCTGAGAGGGTGCAGCTGGGAAGGGGACACGCATTTTTACACCTGACAGGTCAAACCCTGAAAACAGACAATAAAAAAACGAATGTAAGCTAAGTGGAGTCTGTCCTTTACCGCAGAGAGCGATGCGTGCACTGTGTGTGGGGGATTAAGTCTGGTATAAACAGATAAAAAGAGGCTTTTCCACTAACTCTCCATCTGACACCAACACCTGTAACCTTGATACACAACAAAGATGGCTGCAGCTTCCTCCAGCTGCTCCTGGGGATCCCGAGGACCTCCCAGACCAGATGGAAAATACAATCCCTCCAGGTGTTGGGGTTTGCCTCAGGGTCTCCTCCCAGACTCTAGACCCCCGTCACAGGGAGCAGTGCTGGAGGGAGAATTCAGAGAAAATACTAATGCTAATCTGTAAAAATACTCTGGGATATGTACTTTTTAAAAAGTTAAAGTACTCTGTGAGTGTTATGAATAATTATTCCTCATAATTAAAGTAAAGCAGGATTTTACTGCTGTAGTTTTTGAGCTGCACCTCATTTGGAACTTTTATGATTATTTTCATTCTGAATCAATCTGCTGATTTTTTTCTCCATTAACTTGATTAATTGTTTGGTTTGTAAAGATTCTGAAAATAGGGAGAAGTGCCGTTACAGTGACCCAGAGGCAACCTTCACAAAGCTTGTTGTGTCAAACCAGCAGTTTAAACCTCTAAAAAGTTTAAGAATACATTAAAATATTTAAAATAAAAAGCAGCATACCTTTACACCACACCTACAGTACACATACATAAATCTCATAATGACACTGGGTTCAGACATTTCTGCTGAGCTGAGTACATGTTTTCTGGTCTAAAACAGAACCTTTACTTATTTTTAAAGACGCACAGCCTCTGCATTGGAGACAAAACAAACAACAAAACAGTAACAACGTTATTCCATATGAGGCTCTTCAACGCTGACAGACAAGCAAAGCTGGGAGCCAGTAGGGTTGGGTATCGAGAACCGGTTCCAAGATGGAACAGTTACCAAATTTCTGAGGCCCGTGGATTGGATAAGCCCCATACGTTTGGATTCTGCTTATCGGTTCCTAACTTTCTGCATATGTCATGTGTTTTAAGTTAGTTTCAGTTTCCAAACGGTCTGAAGGGGATAAAAGTTACGACCAGGAGCAATCATGTAATGCATAGCAGAGTATGGGGCAGGTGGACTTTTACATTTTTTTTATGAATTTTCATTAAATATTACAACTATTTTCTGGAATGTGAACATGAGCCGAAAAGCTGCTGAAACACAGGAGCTATTAAAGTCCAGGAGTTTCTAACTGAATTAAAATGAATTCATTTCTCATTGGAGGTGAAAAGGAGCCACATGCACATTTAAAGAGGTTGCTTCCACAAACAAAGACACAAAGAGGAGGGAATGCTGAATCATTACTCAGCAGAGATGATGTTACATGAGAAAAGTTTACCTACAGGAGAAACAGATCTGAGAGCTGCACTGACTTAGATTCTCTTAGAGGTTTAGATTTTCAATTGGCGCCTGAATTTTGTGTTTTCTTTACATAAATAAAACATTTCCACCACAAATCGGTGCAGAATGCAGGAAATTAAGTGTTTAATGATCAAAATATTCATATAAACCAGCATTGAGGATTTCTTAAAAATAGTGTTATAATTGTCTCGATCTCGTGAACCCAATATCGTGTCTCGTCTCGTGAGCTAAGTGTTTGGTCACAACTCTATTAAATATGTATCAAGCACTCTGAAATAACAGCCCTTTTTCATGAGCTACTTAATCCACATACCAAAAGGTCCTGGTTCAAACTATTACACGTATATTCTTTAATTATGGATAAAGATATTAAAGTTTAACTGGTGAATGTGACCCCAGAAACTGTCATATAGCGATACTCTCAGTACTTCTGCTTCCTACCAGCACGCTAGTTTCTTTTAACCTTTATGACCTCAATTGTTCCCAACTTTAACCATGTGGTTATTCTCGTAACCGAGACGAGGAAGATGCACAAAATGTAGTCAATTTAACTCAAACCATTATCTTACCCTAAACCCTAAAGTTATTTTGTGCCTAAACCGAACCAAACCTTAACCATAGTCACCGGTGTACGGTCAGAAAATGGTTTTATTGTTTAAAACAGTGATGTCAGATGAAAATCACTTGGGCATAGATCAAATACTCTGCTGACGTATGAACTTACTCTGACTTATGGACAGGCATCGTTATTTATGCAACAACGTTGGTCAATCTGCCATTGCAGATGCATCGAGCACAATAAACTCCTTTACTAACCCCTTTAATTTGCTGAGTGAAGCTGCAGACATTTAAAAAATGGCGGTTAAAAACATCTGCGAGTAGCATCTACTCGACTAATATTCAAGCACCGCAAGCCCCAACCTGGTACTTTTGGAAAGTAGGCTTCTACCCCCTGCGCAGGGACTTTTTAGGGGGTAAAATAAAGTCCCTGGAACTTAATTTAGACGCTGGCCCCTGCGGTGGAAACGCAGCAAAGTTCTTCCAAAGGTTCCTAGTTCCTGGGTAACATGGAAAGGCGGCTTATGTGGGAAAATCTATGCTTTCCCTCACTTGTTGTGCATTTCCCCTTCCTTTTTTCCAATCCATTTAGGTTGCCGAAGGCTGAGGCTCCATTGGCAGCCCATCCAAGGAAGCTCCCACATGGCATGTTGGCTGAGGAAATGAGATATAGACCGTCTGGTGGAGAGCAGACTGTGATCACAACATTATAAGCATGCAGCACAGGAAGATGAATACCCCGGTTAGTCTATGCTTCATCCCAAATATAATCAAAGACACCATAAA